CTTTTAATTACTTCTATTTGTTCTTAGCCAAATGTTCAAAGTCTTTTAACGTGGGTCTCTAATTTTTTTGCATTTTATTTTCTTGTTTCCCACTACTCAAAACAAAACAAAGTGAGTAGCAACACCCAAAAACCTCTTGATTGACTTAGGTTAACTTATCCTACAAATCTCAGCCTATTTATGACATTTCTGAGAGATGTTTCTAACCCTGACCTGCACCCCCACTGTGAACCCTTCCCTCCTAGAGCCTTTAATAAATACGTCCAGATTTTTAACCACCATCTAACTTGTAATTATTTGCTTTAATAGATATCCTATATCCTATGCCTTATACTAAGGATCTCTGGTAATGTAGTGGTTACGAGTCGGGCTGCGAACCTCAGGGTCAGCAGTTCGAAACTACCAGCGGTTCCGCGGGAGAAAGATGAAGCTTTCTGCCCCCGTAAAGATGTACAGCCTTGGAAACCCTGTACAGGGTCGCTATGAGTCGGAACCGACTCCACGGCACATAACAACAACAACAACAACCTACCTTACACTATCTGGAAAAGAATAGCTATAGTTCTAACAGAAGCTGGCACGTGGTACGATTCTGGCACTTTTTATACTTGCCTCATTTAATCCTCACAGCAGCGTTTAGATGTAAATGCTGTCTGTCACCACATTTCTCAGATGGAGAATTTGAAGAATAGAGAGGTCACATATTTTATCTAAGATTGCACAGGATTTGAACCTCAGCATTCTGACGCTACAACTTGTCTTCTAACCTCTCCTTCAGCTGTCTTACCTGCTGTATGCACTTGCTGAATCCTTTGAAAACTCTGCAGGTTTGCTGTGAGTCAGAATCAACTCGACTGCACTTAACAACAATGGTAGCAGTGTTCCTTATTCTTAGTTTTTATGGGCTTGTTTAAAAATGAAACCTGAAAGCTCACTGTTAGCTGTTGACCTCCATCTACGTAACTGTTGTTGATATTGTTAGGTGCTGTCAAGTCGGCTCTGACTCATAACAACCCTATGTTGTTGCTGTTAAGTGCCGTGGAGTTGGTTTTGACTAATAATGACCCTGTGTAGGGTTTCCGAGGATCAGCTGGTAGGCTTGAACTGCTGACTTTGTTGTTCAAACTGACCTTGCTGTCCAGTGCATTAACCCACAGCACCACACCAGGACTCCTAACAACTCTCTGTACACAACAAAAAGAAACACTTCTTAGTCCTGTGCCATCCTCACAATTGTTAGGCTAGAGCCCATTGCTGCTGATACCATGCTAATCTGTCTGGTTGGGGACTTCCTGTATTTCGCTGACCTCTTCACTTTACCAAGCATGTTATCCTTCTCCAGGGACTGGTCCTTCTTGATATTTATCTAGCACTGGTAAAAGCCAAACAGACTTTAAAATGTAGACATAACTTGTATGGTTTCTTCTCGTATCTTGCTTTCCAACCTGTCTTTCCCATTCCCCAGTTCCTTAAGAACACGTGCTGATTGGTGTCCTCAGGGAAGCCAGGACAGTTTGGGTCTGCATAAGGAACAGAAACCACACTTTAACTCCAAACCATGTCTATGTTGACATTAATATATATGTATACAAGAAAGCTGCTGTTTTAAGTCGCTTTTGCAATTAGAATAGTTTTTATAATATAAACTGTAAGTGTGCCCAAGTGCTTAAGTTTTCAGAGGGAGATTCTGAAGCATAGAGAAGTTGAGCAATGTGGTCAGGCCCGCACAACTAGTAAGTTGCAGATTCAATATTTGAACCTGGGCATTCTAGCTCTAGAACTTTAACCAGTACATGGGCTGCTGAACTTTTCTTTAAAAGCGTTTACAATTAGTGCTCACTCTTCTTTGCTACTCTATGCTTTTGATGAATTTAATCATTAACAGCCTTAAGAATTAAAAAATTAAGTCAGAGTATTATCTTGGATGAATCGAATAAAAAATATTGACTGGGAGCCACATTTTTGAGAGACCTTAACAGACTACGTTTAGGAGAATGGTATCAGGAAAGTCAAGATTGGAAAACATGCTGGAGGGGAATGATTAGGGTAACTGAACATGTTTTGCCTGAAACAGACAAAACAGAGTAAAATTATAGATGCTGTGAAAGATTTGAATGTCTTTGTGGAGGAGGTGTTAGATTTCTCTCATGTTGCTTTAGCAGGCAGAACCAGAACGAATGGATGGAAATACTAGAGATTTGAGTCATCCATTTGTAAAGACTTATTTCTAAAAGAGCAGTTCCAACCTAGATGGGACTGTGATGTGAGGAGGGAGCTTTCTGTTGTGGATGGGAAATTCTGTAGGTGCCGAGTAGACTAGCCAGTCAGCTGTTAGGGACCCTTTCCATCATCTGTAAGTTGCCTTTTTTAAAAAAAGGACACAATGTCCATTAAATTTATTCCCATAGCCTCTCATTTTTATATTGAAATCTTATGCTTGTAAATTACATTTTCTATCCGAAGACATTTTATGTAGAATCTTTATCTTCCTCTTCTTCTGAAATATTTAGCTATTTCTGAGTAAAACTCACTGTCTTTATAACAGGACATCATTAAGATTGGTACTTTAGAAAATAAACAATAAAACCAGGCTGCCCTAGTTTCTCCATTTTTCCACTTGAACCTGCTGTTAGCACTGTGAGTCTTGTGTCTGAGTGTTGTGTTGTTGTTAAATGCCATCGAGTTGTGGTTGTTTTTGTTAACTGCCATCGAGTTGGTTCCAACTCATAGCGACTCTGAGTAGTGTCTGAGAGTGGCTGGTGAGTTTGAACGGCCAACCTTGTGATTAATAGTCTAGTGCTTTTCCTACAGTGCCATACCAGGATTCTATACTTTTATCATTTGATATTGTCACCCAATTAGATTTTCTGATATGGTATTGGCTTTTGAAAGCTTTTTAAGAATCTCTTTAAATTAGAAGATTCTAAAAATTGAAATAAGATTAATACTCCCGTGCAGTTATAAGACAGAAATACCTATTAGAAAGTAAAATCCAGAGCAAATAAAATAAAAACTGATTTTCAGAAATTTATGCAAAAATTTAAAGAAAAGCTTACTGATTTTGTTAGCAAATACTGATTTCAAAAAGCAAAGCTAGATAACAGGATTATTAATATTATTAATAATATTTTTATTGGAAAAGTTTTGGTACTTTTGATACCCTTTTATTTAAATAGTAACCATGACACCTAGGAGCTCTGGTAGCGTAGTGGCTATGAATCAAGTTGTGAACCTTAAGGTCAATAGTTCGAAACTGCCTGCCGCTCCGTGGGAGAAAGATGAGGCTTTCTGCTCCCATGAAGATTTACAGCCTCAGAAACCCTGTACAGGGTCACTATGGGTTGGAACTGACTCAACAACACTTAACAACAGTAACAACCATGACACCTAGTGGTCTTGAGACTTCTGATGTGGATCAGTACTGGATCAGCACTGGACTGCCAGTCACAAGTTTGGCAGTTCAAACCCACCAGCTGCTCCTCGGAAACCCTGTTTTTTGTTTTGTTTTGTTTTGGGGAGCAGCTGGTAAAGTGCCATCAAGTTAGTTTCAATCCATAGCTATCCTGTATAGGGTTTCCAAGGAGCGGCTGGTGGGTTTGAACTGCTGACCTTGCAGTTCAAATTGACCTTGTGGTCTAGCATATTATCCTGCAGTGCCACACCAGGACTCCCAGTCGGAAGCGACTCCACGGCACTTACCCTCCACATAGTTATTGCTCACTAACCATGCCTCAGCACTGTCTGATGCTTTATCATGGGATCGTTCATTCCCCAATGGTCCTGCAGCCAGGTGTTGTCACCCCATTTTTCCAGTATAGTGAAACAGCTTAGGGAGGCTGTGCCTTGACTAAGCTCATGTGAAGCCAGATTTTTCTTAAAACCTACTTCTCTGTGCCTCATCAGTTTGCCTGTGAGTGAATGGGAAAGTTGGCCTCTCATCAGGCACCTGTACACACATCCCTGGATTTTGTCTTGAGAGGCAAAAGAAATACCATCATACAGTCTCTCTAAGTCTCTAAGACTTCAACAGAACAAAGACATTAACTTGCTTTGTTCTGTTGAAGTCTCCAATTCTATAAAAAGGCTAGTGGAACACTTTAAGTGAGTTTTAGACAAGACAGGAGGCTCCTGTCTTCTCCCCATGTTGACCTCTGCTTCTTCATAAGAAAAAGAAGAGAGAATGACCCATTATTGCAAAACCGAAAAGTTTTCTTCAAGGACTGGAACCCTTTGATGGAAGTATTTATAAACTACATTGTAATGTGAACCTGCTATGTGCTTACATAGTTTAAACATTTTTTTGTGGGTTCAGGGAGTCCTGTGTGGTGCACTGAACTGCTAACTTCAAGGTCGGTGGTTCAAATTCACAGCTGCTCCTTGGTAACCCTATATAGGATTGGTATGAGTCAGAATCCACATGACAGCACCTAACAACAACAACAGGGGTTAAAATTAGAACCAATATATGTTGCAGAGGAGTCCTGGTGTAGCACTCTCGGTTAATGAGCTGGACTGCAAGGTCAGTGGTTCAAGCTCACCAGCTGCTCCTAGGAAACCTACACAGGGTCACTCTGAATTGAAATTGACTCAACAACACTTACCAGCAACAACAGCAGCATACATTGCAGTGACCTTAAAAGTCAACTGCGGTGTAACTTAAGCTGTCCCCCTCCATCCAGTACTCTTATTTGCCTGTAAATTAGAAGTCATCCCTCTATAGGTCATGATTCTAGAGATTCCTTGCTGCTATACTAATAACTCTCTCCCAGCTACTACGCCCAAATTATTTTATCCTAAGTTGCTGAGGGCTGGGAAATAAGAATAATTAAGAGTTTGTAAAAATAAATAGAGCAATTGATTTGGGGTACTACCTGCTCTTGCAACTAAACACAGTGAGCTTTTATGTTAGCTATTTTCACTTTTCTACCACGTGTATGGAATTGTCAGAGAGGCGGCATTGTGTCTAACAGAGCAAGTGATTTTGTACTTCTTTTAAACAGAGAAGAAGATACAGAAAATGAAAATGAAAAGAAAATTTGGTACTACAGCACAAAAGTCCAGCTTGCAGAATTAATTGACTGTCTAGACAAAGATTACTGGGAAGCAGAACTTTGCAAAATTCTAGAAGAAATGCGTGCAGAAATCCACCGGCACATGGACATAACCGAAGAACTGACCAATAAAGCCCGAGGCAGCAACAAATCCTTTCTGGCCGCGGCAAATGGTGAGGGGCAATTCCCGGTTTTCTTGTTATTATGAAATCACTATAAAAGGTGACATTATATTAAAAATGTCTAGTGAATAGGTTTTACTTTCATTATTTACATTTTATTTTCTCAAGTGAGCCTTGTTGCCACCAATGTCAACTAGGGAGGGTGTGTATGTTACTGTTTTATATCTTGTCTTGGCCGTTACTGATACGTTCCCATATTGTTGTTTTCTTATGAAACCTTTTTAAGAGTCCTGTTTTTAATTATGATCCCTGGTGTGATACTGTAGGATAAGCCCTGGACTACTAACTGCACTAATTGCAAGGATGGCGGTTCAAATCCACCAGCCGCTGCTTGGAAATCCTATACAGGGTCACTGTGACTAAGAACTGACTTGACATCAACAAACATTTTAAATTTTAGATTCCTGGTGTGGCGCTGTAAGATAATTCTGAACTGTTACCAGCAGAGTCGGGCTTGAAACACACCAGGCATTCCTGAGAAACCCCGTATAGCATTGGAACTGAGTTGACAGCACTTAATAATAGCACAAGAACATTGTTAACTATAAGAAATATTTTAAAAATTTTACTTTGTGATTTATTTCAGGAAGTATTTAATTTTAGAATAGATTTAGATTTACAAAAAAGTTGCAAAGATAAAATACACAGGGTTTCCATAATAATGGTACATTTGTCACAATTACCAAACTGATAATTAAACCTTGTTATTATCTCAGTGCCAGATTTTATTCAGATTTCTTTTGCTTTTGCCTAATGTCGTTTTCCTGTCCATGATGCCACCTAAGATACCACGTTACAGTTAGTAGTCAGTCCTTGGTTTTCATGATCTTGTTGGTTTTGAGGAATACTGGTCAGATATTTTGTAGAATGTCCTTTAATGTGGGTATATTTGATGGTGTGCTCCTGCTTTAGACAAGAATTAAAGCCTTATTTTTGAGGGTAGCGGGTCCCTGAGTGGTGTAAAAAGTTAAGCACTCAGCTGCTAAATGATAGGTTAGCCCTTCAAGTCCATCCATAGGCAGGCACCACGGAAGAAACCTTAGCGTTTGAAAATCTTAAGGAGTACATCGTTACTCTGACCTACAAGGGCTTGCCGCCGTGAAGTAGGGTCAGCCTGACAGCAGTTGGTACGGGTAGGGGTGTCTGGGAGGAAGACCACAGAAGTAAAGTACCTTTCCATTACATCATCTGAAGGGCACATGCGGTCAACATGATGTGTCGCTGATGATGTTAATGTCCGTCCTTGGTGGGTGGAGGTAGTGTGCCAGGCTTCTCCCCTGAAAAGTTACTGCACTTCTGGGAACGAGGTCACTTTGTGCACAGCTCACACCCTAGAATCGGGCAGTTATACTCCATCTCCGAAAGGTTGACGGAGTTACATAAATTCTTAGCACTTCTGCAGGAGGTTTATAGATTTTCCCCCATTTCGTTTTTCAGTCAGGTATTGATTTATATCTGTATGAAATTAGGTTTATTTCTTTTAGACATTGGGTTATGATTCAGTACTAATGCATTTATTTTGCTGTCAACCTTTTTAAGAAAGTAATAAACATGTTGTTGTTAAGTGCTGTCGAGTTGCTTCCAACCCCTAGCAACCCTGTATAGGGTTTCCACCACCCACTACTACTGGGTTGATTCCAACTCACAATTACCCTAATGGGCAGAGCAGAACTGCTTCTTAGGGTTTGTTTAGTTGGTTGGTTATGTGCCGTACAGTCGGTTCTGACTCATAGCGACCCTGCAAAGGGTTTCCGAGGCGGTAAATCTTTCTGGGAGCAGAAAGCCTTATCCTTCTCCCGCGGAACAGCTGGTAGTTTCCAACTGCTGACCTTAAGGTTCGCAGCCTGATTTGTAACCACTACACTACCAGAGCTCTTTAGAGCTCCTTTAGGAGACTAAGTCTTTGTGGAGAGTACAGCCTCATCTTTTTCTCCTGAGTGAAAAGTACAAGTGATACTTATTAAACATGCACAGCTTCTCGCTAGCAGGATAAAACAAGAGATGGGGGCATTGATAGTTGTCTCTGGAAAAGGTAAAGAGGAAAAGTTATGAACAGAGAGAAATTCACTGTTCACCTCATACATTTTTGTACAATTTAAACTTTTTAGTTAATGTACCACACTGCAAAGCCGTTTGAACTGTAAGGTCGGCAGTTCAAGCTCACCAGCTGCTCCTCAGAAACCCTATACAGGGTCGCTGTGGCTAGGAAGCGACTCAAGGGCACTTAAAAACAACAACAACAATTACGTATAAGGAGTCCTGGTGTGGTGCTGTGGGTTAATGCGCTGGACTGCAAAGTTGGTTCGAACAGCAAGATCAGCAGTTCAAGCTCACCAGCTGCTCCTCGGAAACCTTATACAGGGTCGCTATGGGTCGGAACTAACTTAACAGCATTTAACAACAACAATTACCTAGAAATACTATTGCATATAAATATACTTAGTTTTCAGAAATAAGTAGATTTAGTTATCAAGGATTATAGAGGGAGCTTCAAAACATTCATGGGAAAATAGAATTAAATGTAATGGAATTTTTCCATGAACTTTTTGAAACCTCCTCATATTTAGTCATATCTAATTGGACTGCAAAGTCGGTTTGATCTGCAAGGTCGGCGGTTCAAAGTTTCTAAAGTAGATATTTTGGCCACACTATCCCCACTTGCTGGAGTCCTGGTGTGGCGCTGTGGGTTAATGTGCCAGACTACAAAGCCGTTTGAACTGCCAGGTTGGTGGTTCAAGCTCACCAGCTGCTCCTTGGAAACCCTGTACAGGGTCGCTATGGGTCGGAATCGACTCGACGGCACTTAACAACAACAACATTCTTATTCTCTCCCTTCCATACACTATAGATCAAATGATAGGAAGTTCTGTTAATTCAGGTAGGTCACTTTCCCATTGAACTTATTTCATTTTTAAAATTTAACAACTTTTTACTGTGAATTGGGTGAAGGTTTACAAAGTAGATCTGTTTTCCATTCAGCAATTCACACACGTCATTGATTGCAAGCCCCACAATGCAACATCACTCAGCCCACATCCTTCCTGGGTTTGCTCTTTCCTTTCCTCTGTCTTTTCCAGCTCTCCTGCACCCGGTTCCTAGGTAAATGCTGCCCTTTTGGTCCCAAATGGTTGATTACTTACTCTAAGGTGTGCATGCTTTCCTAGTTTTGTTTCTCTTACAGACCTGCTTATTTGACTGAAAATTGAGCCTTGGGACTGACTTCATTTCCAGACCTGAAGGGTGACTAAGGGCCATAGTCTTGGGGAGTCTATATCAGTCTCTGTTTGACTAGTGAGCCTGGTCTTTTTTGTGATTTTGAGTTTCTTCCATATTTTTCCCCCTTTTAATGTGATCTTTTTCAGAACAGTTGATAGTGAGTGGTAACCAGGCACCTGAGGCTCTGGCCTCAGGGCTGTGGAAAATGATGTTCATGTGATCCATTAGTCCATGGACTAAATGTTTCCATGTGTCTTCAGTTTTCACCACTCTTCCTTCCTCTTTGGATAGGGAAAGACCAATAGTTGCATCTTAGATGGCCACTCATGATCTTTTAATACCCCAGTTGCTATTTACTCAAGTAGGGTGGAAGACATTGTCTTTGTGGACTGTGTTATTCCCGTAGACCTTGGTGTCCCCCAAGACCATGGTCCTGATCCCCAGGCCCTCAAGTGTTTGGTTATGTCTGATTCCTGGTATGGAGCTGTGGATTAATATGCCAGACTACAAAGCCGTTTGAACTGCGAAGTCGGTGGTTCAAGCTCACCTCACCAGCTGCTCCTCGGAAACCCTATACAGGGTCGCTATGGGTCAGAGTTGACTTGACGGTACTTAACAACAACAAGTATTCATAACATTGCCTCTGTTGTTCTACCACATTCATGGACATAATTTACAGCAAAGGTACATGTACAGATATCCTGTCTCTGTATATCTGTATGTCAAATCTCTATGTATACATCCCCACTTAATTTCTTTACATGGATTAAGGTGTTTAATTTAGTAAAGCCCTTTTGCTTCTCTATATCCTCAGCTCTTAATACAATAAAAGAAGACCATCCCCAGGCCTTTCAAAGCCTCTGGTAGTGTAGTGGTTACAAGTCAGGCTGCTAATCTCAAGGTCAGCAGTTCGAAATTACCAGTGGTTCCTTGGGAGAAAGATGAGGTATTCTGCTCCCATAAAGATGTATAGTGTCGGAAATCCTACTCCATACCACCTACCACCAGTGTGCTTTTATTAAGAATATTGAATTAAGAATCTTTCCAGAGTGATCTTGTTGTTGTTGTTAAGTGCCGTTGCGTTGATTCTGACCCATAGTGACCCTGTATAGGGTTTCCAGGAGCAGATGGTGAGCTTGAACCACCGACCGTCAGTTTAAACAACTTTGCATGCTGACGCATTAGCTCACAGCACCACACCAGGGATCCAGAAATCTTTAGATATAGGGAAATATATGAAATATAAAGAAACTAAAAATGTCTATCAATATAGGGAAATTGATTTGTTTGTTTGTGTTTTAAATGAACTATCTATCTATCATGTGATAGAACACTGTATACTGGAGAACTGAATAAAGTACCATGTGAAATCATTGAGGTGCTGAAATTCCCTTCCTTTAGGAGTCCTGGTGTGGCGCTGTAGTATAAGCACTGAACTGTGAATCATAAGGCCAGCAGTTCAAATCCACCAGCTCTTCCTCGGATACCTTGAATAGGGTTAGTATGAGTTTGAACAAGTTGAATAGTACTTACCAACAGCATGAAGGTGTGACGTTACTGTGGCATCAAAATGCATGTAATTCTTACATATAGTTTCTTTTTCCAAATAAAAAATACGTTTAAAAATAGTGATTGTAGGAACAAACAAGATGGTGGATCGGGTGGAAGTGCAACGAAGAGCCCCGCCAACAACAACACAGACAGAATACCCGACCAAGCAGGCTCAGGGGATGTACAGGAATATATAGAAGGTTGGAAGGCTTATAGCTGGGGAA